CTATTTGTCATTTTTTTTTGATAACTGTGGATGTCCGGGCCAAATTGCGCGCACCTCGACTAATTCCACGGGGCTCTGAAGTTTACGACCGGGTACTCACCTCAGTGGCCCTGAGGGGACTCGAACTGGTGACCATTTGAGAGCAAACCTAAGACCTGACCAATTGAGCAACCTCTCAGAGTTACATTTCCCATCATATCACTATTCAAAATCAATTCTTCCCCCAAAAATACCTACCAAACAAGCACTTACAGTCTGCCCCAATCAGGTTTTTAACAAAAACCTAGTGAAATTGCAGCATTGGTCCCTGATTTTACAAAAAAATAATTAAAATGGTTTTCAAGTTTCAAAAGTGAGCCTGACAACCAAAAACCACTCCAAGTTCTCCAACTTTCATAATGTACAATCTGGTCATCAAAATTTGACTTTCATTCCAAAATTTCCATCCAAAATTTGAATCCAAAGATCATCAAATTTAGGCACTAATACATCTTGGTCCCCAAAGTCATGAATTTTCTACGCTTNTGGTCCCCAAGGTCATGTTTTTATGCACTTTTGGTCCTCTTTTCCTTCCTTTAGCTCATTTATCCTCCAACTTAGAATTTTGGCTTACAAACACCATAATTACACAATTATGAATAGGAATCCACTCATTTTCTTCAATAAATAGCTAGTGAAAGTGCCTAATAAATGTATAAAAACACACTAATCAATCGTTACTTTTCATTTTTTGACATTTTCACATTCAATTTCGAAAAAAGTCATTACATCCAACTTCCATCATTTGCCCCATTAAATCAACATAAAAATCAATTTTTATTTTAAAAAACAAAGGATAATATGGTCTTACACTCTTACCCAATTCTTTCCCTTCCCATTCTTCCAACAACCTTTCAAAAATGACTACCAGTTAATTAAAATCCATTTCTCTTTCAATTTTTCCTTTTGCCCTCATAATTTTTCAGTGCACAAAAAAATAAAAATAAAAATCCGCGTAGGAAAAATCACCCGTTCATCATCAAGATTGCAACCGTATGTTCTTTTTTGTCCCTGTTACCTAGCAAGAGCCATTTTGGTAGAGATTAAAATCGGATTAAAATTGAAAAACTAGTCGTTATTGTTGACTTATATTAGACGAGTGGGGTCCAATAACGACTATATTTTCAATTTTAATTGGATTTTAATCGGTACCAAACGGGCTCCAAATTTTTTTTTATAGAGAGAAAGATTACATAAAAAGAGTCAAAGGGGTGGTTTGGTAGGTGACTAATGTAATACCTAACCTAAACAGAGATCAAGAAAATTAAGAGAATTCTCATTAAATCTGGAATTACATGGCTTTTCCTAGGTTTGTGTGGAAGTTTAGTTCATTTTATTTTTAGGTACATCAAGTAAGCAAATTATTTGTACTTTGTGCTTGTTTCATCTTGAAATTGGCTTTGGAATTGTGACCTGTTTTCCTAGGCTAAGAAATTAATTTTTTGAGGGATTTTTTGCACTTGGATGGGTATTAGCAACCAATTCAAGGCCAAGAGCTCATTTAACAGTATATTCTCAATCAACCATCACTTTCTTGATGTACAATTAAAGAAGGAAACAGTGAATTATGTTTACTATATGAGAAAATGGAGAGATTGAAACAAGAAATTCAAATTTGTGACCTTTTTCGTGATGTTTTAATTTTTTTATTTAAATACTGAATGTAGGGCTTAAGTTTAGTATTTCCAACTGCCCTTTTTTCATACTTTATCAACTTATCACCTCCAACTACTTTAGATTTCTAGTCTTGAGAAAAAAATGGGTAACTCACCTTGATTTTTTAAAATAAAAATTGTATTTTGTGTTGATTTAACGGACAAATAAGAGAATTGGATGGAATGAAATTTTTCGCATTGAAATGTGAAATGAAGGTGAAATTGCCAAAAACGAAAAGTAAGAACATTTTGTACAAAAGCATTGAAAGATGAGAGCGTTTTGTTCTAATTAGCCTTTTAAATATGTATTCAATTTATTATTATTATTATTATTTTTAACATCAGTCCTTAATTAAGGGCGTGTAAAATCAAATTAAAATTGAAAATATATTTGTTATTGAGCCCCACGTCTAATAAAAGTCAATAATAATTATTAATTTTTCAATTTTAATTCGATTTTAATCTCTACTGAATACGCATTAAACGTGAAGCTCAAAATAAAGGAAAATAAAAAACAAACATATTCCGTGGGAAAGTAAACAATGGAATTTGATAATTTATAAATAGTTTTTTTTTATTATTATTTGTAGAAGCACAGTGGACCCAGCAAATCCCAACTCTTCCAGCGGAAGTTTTCCTCGATTCTGTCGAGCACTTCTTCTCCCTGTAGCAGAAAATCGTCGCACGATGAAATGATTTCTTATGAAAATTTTTACTAAATCATAGAAAGGGGAAAAACTTTAGAAAATGGGAGATTCCAGTACAAAAGTATTCAGCGTCCGCATTGTTTCAATAGACTATTACATGGCCCCTCCGATTCATGGTCTCGACATTTCTTACAGCACTTTCCAAGGTACTAATTTAAGCTTCTTTGATTCATCGTTATTAAGTTGCATTGTTTCTGATAATTGGAAATACTTTTCAACTGTCATTCGTTTTTCTCTTTAAAACAACTGTGTCATGCTATATGCACATATGGGTTTGGAATTTTTTCTTTAATAATTACGCGGTACAGGTGGGAAGGTGAATGAGGTTCCGGTGATAACAATATATGGTTCGACTCCGGCGGGTCAGAAGACTTGCTTGCACGTTCATCGAGTAAGAACATTTTACTGCTCAAAGAGATGCATATGCGTATCTATATACATTTTGGATTTGTGCGTGTTCGCGTGTAAATGTGAAAATTGAATTCCATGGTTGGGGCCATGGATTGAAGGTAATTCTTTTCTTCAAATGTGTAAAATTTGTTGACATGAGAAAATTGATGGGTGACTCCAGGTGAATGTGTGTTGTTGATAATTGCCCCGTCTTTATTGTTGACTTTCTCATAAGCTGAAGTTGCTATTTTTTAAGGTGACCGCCTAGTGACTGAGTTTTTCTAGGAGCTCAGGTATAACTTACCTCTACTTCTTCAATCTCCTAGCTTTTAGGATGGCGTGCTCATGTCACGAGATGCCTTTGTCGCAAGAGTACCTTTTGGTTTCAAAGCTGCGAAAGATTTTACTCTTTGGTTGGTCTTGCTTTCAGTTTTTGATGCGAATGATATGTTATGAAGAACACTTACTTTAGACATGCCTTACTCCTGACTTTTGGTTGGTCTTGCTTTTAGTTTTTGATGCAAATGATACATTATCAAGCAAACTCACTTTAGAAGTGCCTATATTCCTGAGCTTTGATTGGTCTTGTTTTTAGTTTTTGATGCTACGGATATGTTACGAAGCACACTCACTTTTGAAGTGCCTTAACTCATGAGCTTTGGTTGGTCTAGTTTTTAATTCTTGATGTGAAGGATACTGTCATGGTTCCCATTGCAAGGTATGAGACTTGAAGCGTACATCGAAAGTGTGAGCTTTTGGTGTGTGGTTTATATAAACATGGGTTCTCCAATTTCAATAGTCAGCTTTTGATGTGGGGCTCTCCCAAGATCTATATCAATGATATCAGAGCAAGCACCATGTCTCCCAGTTGCAATTGAACAGTATGAATGGTGACGTTGGCATAACAGTGTTCATCCAAACCAGTCATGGACTTTTGCAAAGCGAGTATGGCGTAGGCGTCGAGATTGCGGAGCGTGGTGGATTGTCATGATTCCCATTGCAATGTATGAGATTTAAATCATACATCGAAATTATGGGCTTTCTGAGTGTGATTTATATAGATTTGAGCTCTCCAATTTCAACAGCTACCTTTTGAGATATAACTCTCTCAAGATCTATATCAGATACATTATGAACCACACTTATTTTAGACATGCCTTAATTCCCGAGCCTTGAGGATCATGAGCTTGGCTCACTTCTAACAGTCGCCATCAGAAAATGCCTTCTAGCTTCAAGATCTCCTGGTCATCCACTTCTCCTTCTTGTGTAGAGATGTGCACTTGTAACACATACAAATCAAAAACAATTCTTCAATTTCCTAGCTTCAAGAGCTAGAATTGGATGAGTTTCCTCTCCAGCTCTTGAGTGCACTAGGAATCCATCATTGCTTCTAGACTTAATATGAGGTTATGTCACATGCCATTTGCAGAGGATGGGTGGTCAAGTTGTTAGCCTTATGCTGATATGCTTGAGCTTGGGCTAGTTAGTATAATTTGATATTATAGAACATCCTTAGTTGGCTGAAAATGTTCTCCAAAGATAGACAAAAGTATGTACTATGATCTGGATTAGCAACGAATTTGTTTCTCAACTCATAGCAATTGATACACACAAAACAGATTTGTACAAATTAATCATGTGCTGGGAACTAGATTTGAACAGGTGAAAAGAAGTTTTTTTCCTTTGTTCTATCAACTGAGATATCGTGACAATTTTCAATGTAGCATCCATCCTCGTTTTATTATGACGGGGTCAATAAAAGGATGAGAAATCATCCTATCAATTTGCTTCAGTTTATCTCTTTGGTAGATTCTCACTTTTTTCCACAGATTCATATAGCCAGTTGTTAGGGAGCTTGCCAAGACTGGATGCCAACATTGCTTGCACGTTCTGATGCTTCCCTCTCAAATAGGGTTTGAGCAGAATTCTTTGATCGCCTTATTTGGCCAAGAGTGAGCTATGAATTCTGGGAGATTTAGTTGAGCAGAACTCTATCCCTTGTAAGAATTATCCCCCTCATGTGGCAAAAGCTCTGGTATTCCACGCTAGGCCTTTCCCTTCTCAACACTTCTCTGCCTAGGACAAGCTTGGCATTTTTCTTCACTTACTGTCAAAACCTTCTGATCTTTGAGATGAGCTCGACCATGCACGAGCTCCTTTGTTCTCTGCCTAGATCCTTTAGGCGAGGAAAACATTTTGCTCTTCAGTTCTAAGCTGCTCTACCACCTACATGCTCTGCTTGACATGCTTGTTGCTTCCCAAAAATCTAGCTCTAGATATAAGCTTGCTGTGTTAGTGAGTAGTTCGAGTTGAGAGTTTTCTTCACCATCATGGAAAATGCAGCATAATTATCTGCGTAGGGTTCCTACGACTTTCTGTTTTTACGTTATTTTGTGAATGTAGTTTCAGTTTATAAGTGGATGTATCATTCTCGTTTTGTTTGATTTGGTATTCAGTCTCTTGGATTTAGATAATTGAAGTTGCTGGAATTTTTCATTTATAAAGACTCCATTACCTTGTTTATATGCAGGCTTTACCCTATCTTTACATAGCATGCTCGGATTTAGGCCTAAAACCAGATGATGAAGGTATCATATGTGCCTGGAATTAGTTAAAGAATATTATCCTTGTGTTTGTAATCTGTATCACAAGCTCTCTATAGAATTTTACTACTGCTAAATCAGTAATATTATAATAACTTTGTTGACAATTTTTTTTGACTTTGAGTCTTTTGTCAGCATGAACATGTGCATCTACGAATAGAGTTCTCGTGTTTTGCATTTTTACATATTTGATGCCAATGTAAGTTAGGTTTAATCTATTCCTGTAGAGCATGAATCTTATGTCCTGAAAGCCATAAAATGGCAAGTTTTCAGCTTCACTATTATCAAAGAGGTTGCAGCTAATTCAGTTAAGCTCAGACATTGAACCTAATTTTTCTTTGTTCCTTGTTTGAAAAATTGGGCAGTTGATTCAATCAGACATGCTATGTCTCTTTCTCTTGAGAAAGCGCTAAAGGTATCTTGAATTTAAGTGATTTTTGCTGTGTAGCTGGTTTGCAGTAGTGATACTTCTCTGTTATATGGCTGTTGATACTGGTGTTCTTGAATGTAATTTGGTTTCACAGCTTAAGGGTCATGTGGGCTCAAAACGCCAGCACGTGCACGATTGCAGTCTTGTTCGAGCGAAGAGGTTTTATGGATATCATTCTTCAGAGGAGCTATTTGTGAAGATTTATCTGTATCCTGATATTTCGTTATCTATTATTTCTTATGACAACTTGTGATTACATGAAGAGAACATAAATAATTGATGATAATGCTGACATGGAATTAATAAAGGTCAAAAAGTCACTTTTCTCTTGAAATCGAAAGTTTTCAAAATTTAGTCACAATATTGAAAGTTGGTGACTTTGTCCCCTGATATTAGGGAAGCCTTAAAAAGTGAGTGCGCCTCTCAAATTTTTATTTGCAGTTTAGTAGTCCTTTTGCTAGAAGTGTGGAATTTTAATTTGTGAAATTTGATATATCACACATATTTTATATTTACGTTCTAACCTCCGAGAGTGTAATGTCAACTTATCTTTTGTTTCTCTTTTTTTATCATGTTTTTTGCAACAGTTATTGGGATTTAGAGAAGACTCATCCAATTTGTTGTGTTTTGATAAGGAGCCAGAGGGGAAAGAACCATGCGGTCGTGCCATCTTTACTTCAGCCTTCCTTTGGCAAAATTTATAAATGGTCATACTTCATTTTCAATCACATATTCAAATGAGCCAACAAATACTATCTACTTATTCACCACTCGTTTCTATGTATTTATAAATAGAATCACTGTTTCCCATTCCTGCTGCAGTAGCTAACAGATTAGAGATGATTTAAAGGGAATTTCTTTGAGAGGAGATGAAACTTCGTTTGGTTAAATGAGGAGTTGTCTGCTCTCCTATGAGGATGGGGGGTCTCGGATTGAGGAGACTTACTTTGTTTAATAAGGCATTACTAGGCAAATGGCTGTGGCAGTTTGGTGTGGAGAGGGAGAGTTCCTGGAGAAAAATCATTGGGGTGAGGTATGGCGTGATGGAAGGGGGATGGTGTTCTAGTGAGGGTCACGGGTCTCACGGGGTGAGTCTATGGAGGTATATTCAACGAGGATGGAATGACTTTCGGAATAGCTTGACTTTTGTAGTAGGGAATGGTAATAATATTAGATTTTGGGATGATTGTTGGAGTGGAGATATACCGCTAAAGTTGGGGTTTCCTTCCTTGCATCGCATTAGTATGATGCTTTTTGCTATGGTGAATAACGTTTTAGCCATCCACAATGGGAGTCACAGTTCGAATATCACTTTTCAGAGATGTTTGCAGGATTGGGAATTGGATGACTATGCATTGCTTCTAACGGATTTGTTTGAGGTGCAAATTCGGGTAGGAGAGAATGATCGTAGCCGATGGAGGCTGGCACATAATGATATTTTTTTAGTACGCTCTTATTTTAGATCTTTCTTGGGACCTGTGGAGAGTTCATTCCCCTAGATGATGTTGTGGCATTGCAAATTGCCCCCACAGGTGGCATTTTTATTGTGAACGATTGTGAGGGGACAGACATTAACGATGGATAATCTCCGAAAAAGAGGCTTTTATGTTATCGAGTGGTGCTATGTGTGGGAGTGATGGAGAGACGCATGACCACTTGTTCATTCACTGTGACGGTGTTCGTTGGCTGTGGAATAGTATTCTAGCTTCTTAACATATAGATTGGGTGTTGCCAAGACGTATAGAGGATGCGTTACGGGCATGTAGGAGGAAACTTCGTGATAAGAATAGCAAACCAGTATGAAATTTTATCTCGGGATGCATTGTTTAGTGTGTGTGGAGGGAAATGAACAACCGATACTTTGAAGACCAAATACGGAATACAGAGCAATTTAGAGAATTATTTTATCTGACTTTGTATACTTGGTTTAATGCAGCGACTAGCAATCCTATAAAGGGGCTGTCTAACTTCATATCTTTTATTTCTTGTTTAAACTGATAATACACTTCTCGTGTATTCTTCTTTGATTAATAAAATTTTCTGATTATCTATAAAAAAAAAAAGAAAAAATTTCTCTGTTATGATTTTTATATGTTGTCGTTAGTATAGTGTTCTTCTCATTGATATCAATATTTATTCTTTGATGCACTTTTTTCCTCTGTTCTTGATGCGATTCTGAAGTTTGCCATAGTCACCTTGACAAAAATCTAAGCTATCACCCACAGGATGTCTCCCGGGCTGCAAATCTTCTTCTGGTAATGTTGTTGGACTTCTTAACTACAATAATTGATTTTTGTTGCATAGTTTTACCTTTTAAAAGAAGTTTTAATCACTGCATTGGTTTTAATATATTGGATTTTTTTCTTCTTCTCATGGTTAAACTTCAATTATCCTTTGATGGAACTCCATTAAATATATGTAGTAGTTATATTTTCTAATACATCTTGACCCTTCACAGTGATAACATGATAAGATTTGAGAAAATAATCCCAAGCATTTTCCATTGATATAGTATAGAGTAAAGGGCTTCCCTTTGGATTCTTTGTCCTCTCTAACCACCACAAATAGAAAACCAATACCATGGAGTGGATATTGGCTTCCTGTACTAAATCACTGGCTAGTATGATAAATTCTGATATTCACTAATTTGAGAACCATGCTAAGAATAGAAATCTTCAGACGGAAATCTTTGATAGGGTCGTGTGCTTAGTGCTACATATGAACAGATGCTGTTGAAGCGTAGAATTTTTCATCAAAGATTTTGTGTTTGATAGTTGGGCTTTCTTAGTTTTGGATAATGTGCCTTGTGCTTTTCTTTCCAATTTAGTGCTTGCTTGGAATAACTTAAAAGTTTAAAAAATTGAGGTTAAAGTCAACAATTAATTTTAACCACACTTATGAGACCTGCATCTTTTATCAATTTTCCAACCACACACTTCACCAACTTTTTTATCAAAATTTTTGTCAAAATCTGCTAAAGTTTTTATTCAAAATCTTTGTCAAACAACCCCTTAATTAGGTTTCCCTCCACTCTAATTTTAGGGGACATGCTTGTAGTCCGCACACCATTTTCTTTCAGACATTTTATAGTTTGGCTAGTTACATTGGCACATGTTTAATGTAAGTTACTTCACTGAGTTGTGAAACGTCATGATCTGCTTCCATTGGATTTCAAAAGAAGAATCTTATCACGTTGGAAACTGTAAATGTGTAAAATTGGACATAACCTTTTTCCATCTTTTATGCAGGGAGGAGCAGTTATGGACAAGGTTTTACAACCCTATGAATCACATATACCTTTTCTTCTCCAGTTCCTGGTTTGTATACGTTGTACAAACTCATTCACATTCCATCCTAAATACAGCTTTTATTGTCATGATTTAAATGTTTATGGCACTAGATGCTCCTTACCTTTTATGTTGTCGGATCATTTTCTTTGTTGGACTCCTTTCCTCTCTCTTTCATGCCTAAATATTTATTTGGACTTTTGAACTTGTCTGAGAGTTGATACTTGTTATTTTAGCTTCCGATTTGGGAAGAATTTATAAACAGTATAATTTATGTACAAATAGATAGAAATGAGTGGTGGATAGTCCAATGGAATGTTTGGTTGAAAATCAAGATTTACCACTTTATAAATGATTTATAAATTTGCCAAATGGAGGCTTAGCTATTACTTAGATATAGTGGCTGCCAGTTTCCCTCTTTTTATAGTACTTGGCGTGTGATTCTTTCCTTGTTACTTGGAGTCTGTTTGAGCCCCATATTTTGTCAAAAATGCATTTTGGAATAGTATTTTAATGGAGAATGTGTAGTTAAAAAATAAGAAAAAGTTTTAGATTTGCGTGTAATATTATTTTATTGAAGAATGCTTAATTGAATATAAGAGAGAAAAATGTATTTTGAAAATAATTTGGACCAAACAAGGGCTTGTATGCCATTGTATTACCCTTCAGTTTGAGAATTGAATAGGCCAATATTCCACATTATTCTCATGTAACGATTTTAAGTAGTATTCTTTCATTTATACGAATTAATTGTCAATGTTGAAATTTGCTTGATTGTTTCCTAATCTTGGAAATTTTCAATCTCAACGATAATTTATAATCTTTTTAACATGTATTCTTAGTGATATGTAACTATGTAGGTTGTCATCTATCCTAGAATTATGCCTAGATAAAATAGGTAGAGGCTATTATTACCTAGAATTACAAGAAAACAGGTAGTTTCTTAGAATAGACTACCGCATGTTTGGGTGAGTTTATGCGTCTACCTACTTTTCAAAAAGCCATCATATAAGCTACTCATAAGCTCACCGAAACATGCCACACCTGCATATGTATTCCAATGTAATTGCAATTATTATCAGTTAAATCATATTTCACCATCAACATTAAAGAAGACAAAGGTTCTAATTTCAAGTCTTGCTGCAACCCATTTATGCAAACTTCACATATCTAACATTTGAATATATTGAAGATAAAAAATATAGGCAGAGAATATTTTGACAATAGATTGTTTTTACTCAGCAATCTATATCTTTTGACACTCCTTAACAAAATCAGGTTGTAAAGAAGAAAAATAGACATTTCCTAAAAGGTGATAGAACTTCAATTTTTCTAAGTGAGAGTACCATTGTTGGGGAAAGTTATTGGACAGCCACTTGTCTAATTAACCGTCTGCCCTCTAGAGTTCTAAGTTTCAAATCTTTGTTGGAACTCGAGCCATATTTTTCATTTAAACGCTTTGTAAATCTTCCTCCTAAAGTGTTTGGTGCATCTCTTCCATTCATATTCACAGCTAGAGTGAATCACAACTTGATCCTAGAGTGATCCTTGGTTGCTCACCAACATGATAAAGATACAAATATTTTCAGCCTCCTTTCTCTCCCCACCTTTTCAGCTCCTCTGTTCTCCACCTACCATCCAGCTCCCCTCATTCGCCTGTTAGATATAATTTTTTTTTTTTGAAAAGTAATCAAATATTTTATTAATCAAAACTCAATACACAGGATATAATTGGCCACCAATATATAAATTTTCCTACACAAAGTAACTTTCTACCTCATTCTTCCACAGGGAAATCATCAAACCCTAACATTGTTAAAACTATCTTTTGTAGCTCCATTCTTGGGAACTAGAGAAGTGTAATTTACTATGTCCAATTTCCAACAAAAAGGCAATTCTTTGCTTCATATCACAAATGCATTACACTTAGCCCGTATATTAATATTAGCAAGCTAGCATAATTTATCGGGTAGCTGTGGAATTAGAATTCATTGCCTGCACAACACAGATAAACTTGTCCAATTTAGATTAATCTCCATGTGTTTCCATAGTTTCATTGAGTAAAGACAATAAGTAGGTATACAGCTTCAACTGTGTGAAAGGGACGGGCAGGGGGCTGGATGGTGGGATTTTTGGGAGGGAAAGGTGTTTTTTTTTTCTTTATTTCAATTTTCCTTATTTTTGTATAGTTCTTTTTGGCGTATTTGAAAATGAGGGTGGAATAGTCCTATGCCACAGTTAATGCCTGTTGTAAATGGACACTGTCTAAGAACCTATTTGCCATGAAAGTCGAGGTTTTGACCGAAATGCCCAAAAGAGGTTGGTAGCATGACAGCACTTTCTTAACTAAACCAAAAATGTAAAAGATTGTAAATTATGGCTCTAATAATGTTCATTAGTCTACCATGACCATTAATTGTAAAAAGTTGACTGTAATTTGTGATGCAAAATGTTTTTTTTTTTTAATGAATTCCTGTCATAAATGTCAAAAACAAACAAACACATCTCATGCAAAATTATTACCATGAATCGGTTCAGTGCTGATATATAATATCCATTCATTACATCTATAGGTGGTAAAGGACTGAAATAAAGCTTTACTAGTGTCTTGGTATATGCTTATGGGTGTAGTAACTCTAGTTTTCTTCTTAACATCCTTTTTATACTTGATATATGTGCCATATAATTCTGATACTAGGCTGTTGGTCAGCTTTTAATGTTGTCTATAATCTGTACTGTCCTTAGCTGATTATGATGTCATGCATATCAATATTCTGCTTTCTGCTCTGTAAACTGTTCTAGATTGACTACAATCTATATGGGATGGGTCAACTACATGTATCAAAGATTAAGTTTCGCTATCCGGTTCCAGATGATTTCTCTCCGCGAAAAGCTGAAAATTATAGTCAACAGAAGAAGTTTACTGATGTCTCCACTTGTGCGACAGAAGATTTTCAGGTTGACCTTTTCCCATTACATTATCACAGGCTTTAAAGGTTACGGATTTGAATAATGCTTGAGATGTATAATATCCGTGTCATACTTAAAATTTTCTTGTAGGCAGATGATGATTGTGATGTATGTTTGGGTTCCCAAGTTTGGATATCTTCTACAATTCCAGATGGTTGGATTTGGCAATACTCAAACCAGCTTGATCCTTCAATAGATGTAGATGTTCCACTCATTAAGCGTCAGAGCAACTCTGAGCTCGAGGGAGATGCTGTTGTAGAAGGTTGGTTGGTTTTTGTAGTTGTGTGAAAAAGTCATGCCCCCCTCATGGTTTTGTAGCTAAACATTTTCGTACATTGTTTTGCAGAGATCCTCAATCAACAGTTTATACCATACACATCTCTTTCACAAACCTGTTCTGAAGTGAAAATGGTTCAGTCATTAATATCGATTTGGGAGGTTTGCTTTCATTTCATGTATGTTCGATTCAATGCATATGTTAACTGCACGGTCGTACAAATGACTATTTGAACCTTTCTTATTTTAGGAGTTTGAGAGGACTGGGATGCATGAGACAGCCATAGCTCCCAATCCTGGGAAGACGCCACCTCAAGATGTTTTAAGGACTCTATCAGATGGGGTTGAATTGGGTGACATACTTAGAAAAGTGAGTAACGATGCTGCAAAATCTTTATCTTTCACTCCAGAGCCAACAAAGTATTCTACCTATCGTCAGAATTTGGTTGAACTTGGACATGTTAACATTGAGGATAGCAGCAACGAGTATTCCAAATATTTAAAAGCAAGCGACAATATCGGAACTTTGTTATTACTAGATTCATCATCTCCGAATGGTGCAACAGCTGGTGAGAAATTTGATGCAGGTACCAAGCAATTTCCAGCTGATAGAACTCAAATATCTGTTGAAGGACCATCAACTATGAAGGTAATTGTCAGGGCTTTTCACGGGGAAAAAAAATGAAGGAAAAGCTCCACTTCCCCATTGTCAATGCATTAATGTTTAAAAAGAATATGCATTCAATTGGAATTATGTGTTTGGCATTTTAACTTTGTACTGTAACGTCTGCACTTCTATTCACCCTGATTCTGTATGATTCACAAGTTTAATTGAGTCACAGAGTAATATTCAGTTCACTTCAAGGAGAAAAGCAAATGGGTTGGAGTCCCTTCAGATCACACTTCTATACATCATTTAATTGGTGATTTTAATTTTTCCCTTGGTAAATAATTTATCACAATAGAAGATAAGTCCTAGCTTCTTGCTCACTCACCCCAAAGTTTCTAAGAAGTACCCATTTTTATATTACGAAAATGGTGATTTTCCTGCCTGAGAGATTTTGCTGGCCCTCCTAAATTGTATCAATCTGTTTTTACACCTTAGTTGCAATTGGTAGATAAGTACTGATTAGTGGGTTTGTTTTAAGGAATCTATAACATTTTAAGTATGAAGTGAAACATGGTTTGGCAAATGGAACTTCTTGGAACTCATTGAGGACGACCATATTAGTTGATTGTTAGGCGTAGAGACCATCCTTGTCGAGATACATAGAGAGAATGCTGGAGCTTGTTTGCAGCTATGTTCATATGTTTATTCTTGGTCTATCTTCATTATCTGTTTTTAAGTTTTGATTGCATTATTTATGTACTCAGTTTGGCGAGTTAGTGAAACTGGAATGCATGATTCATTTTATTCTTTTATATACTAATTTATTTTCTGGGAAATTCCATGGATCTGTACAGCTAAAAAATACTAAACATTAAACGCTATTTAACCTTTTTCAAGTTGTAAGATGAAAAAGAAATGTCTGGCATACCACGTTATGAAGGTTGTTTGCTTTCTACGTGGTTTGAAGGACCTCAGACTTTTGTATAATGCACGTTTCAGTCCGTTTACAATTTCCTGAGTTTTATTTGTTGTCTAGAGATATAGTGATCCCGTTTGATACAAAATTTTATATTTTTTATTGGTTTCATTTTTTTTGTTTTTAAGCATTCTTCGTTCTTCTTTGTATACGTCTGCCTTGTCTTACTGTTTTTGTAAATATTTATCAGGCCTCAGACGAGGATGCCTTGAGGCTTTTGAAGTGGCTTGCATCTTCTCAAGCTGCTGAAGATATAAACTCTGATGATGAACTTGCTCGTGATGCCATTTTGAGTCCCTTAATTCCTTCAACAACCATTGTTAAGGTGTTGGAGAAAGCTAGTACAGATTACGAGAATAATTCTCAGCAAGAGTGTCAGGACATTCTTGATTCTGTCGAGGATATGGGTTACTGTGAAGGATTAGATGGCAGAGTTTCTAATGCCTTTGAGTATAATCATTCTACCGATACTTCGTCAAATGTAGTTATCCCGCAAGTCGATGGTTCCAGTGATGATCCACACTTGAGTCCCTGCTCTGGCAAATCGTCCAAAATGGAGACTGATAGTGAATTTAAGTCATCTATGAGAGCCTGTTCCTGGCCTGAATTTGATTCAAGCTTAATCAGTCAGCACAAAAGGAAAAGACCTGGGTGGGGTTCTTTACCTCTTTCTTGCGACAAAGTGAATGATTTTTCACATGCTAAAGATTTCAATGTTAATGATGGATGCGGAAATGAGAAAAACTCAGGACATGAAGCAGAAAGCCATTCTAATGTTGTAAAGGTTGACGCAAATAAGGATGCCAGCTATGCAGAGCAAGCTAGTGTAATAGCTGAATGCTCTGCACGTGACTTGATGAGAAGAAAACGATGCCACAAGATTGATCCATCTGATAGAACTCCTGAGGGCAAAAATTGGCAAGAAGATTCATCTCTTGACACAAAATGGAGGAAAGGAGATTTGTTTCATGAACAGGAATGCAGAAATGATATGCATGGCAGAGAATCTCTGCTATTCTCCATACGTAGCCCTGTTACAAATGAGGAAACAAAATGTCATGAAAGGGACACATGTACAGTTGACGTGTGTGACGAGGCTTCTCATGCTAAACCTATGAATTCATATTTTTCTACTTTGGGTGAGTTGTCTCTTTCCTCCTGCAGTGTTAGCAGAGCAGAAACAGATGCTCCAAATGTTGGACCGTCTCATTCTTATCAAGGACTTCATATTGATGTAGACACCAAGTTAGCATCTGCTTCTAAAAGTTATGGGAACAAAGAATCCACAGATATGTTGGGCCAGGGGGAGAGCAGTAGTTGTGAAAATCTAGACACCTGTGTGAAGGACGATAATTCTGGCAATTCAACATCTAACCTTGTAAATATGGAAGCAGAAGGTATGACTCTCTTCAAGAAACCGCCAATGATGGAGTGGACAGAAGAACAGGGTAGTGAAGCTCCATCACTGCCTGGTGTTGCTGAAGAATGCCTACCTTTTTTCACGGGCAATGGCATTGATGAAAGAGAACTTGATATTAGCCCTGGGAAGAATGACTATGTTAATTGCCCAGGGTCTGTAATGGGTGTCCCCGTCCATTATCAGAATGATGGGTCCTACTTGTACATACTGACCCCTGCACTCTCACCCCCAATGGCGGAGTGTATTCATGGATGGAAGTTACCTGACGAGTCAGATATTCTGAGGCAAAAGGTAGCAGCATTGTCACCATTGCCTCCATGCTCAAAGAGGTCTTTAGTTGATTTAGTAGATTCACAGGATTCTCAGGCCGATGCTTGTAATAGTCCTTTTCTGGAATCTGCTTCTTTATCTGAGTCGACACATAATTCAGAACGACGACATCAGCATGAACAAGATAATAGTAACATGGAAATGAAGTGTCTTAATGCTACTGGTGATATAAAGCAAAATGAAGGAAATGTTTTAAAAAGTAAGCCATCAGTTGATTGCTCACTGTATACTTCTCAGATATCTGGGCCTGATAGAAATTCAAAGCCAACTCCACTGAGTCAAAGTGGCTTCCGGGATCCAGCAAGTGTTGGTGGAGGGCAGCAGCTAACATTATTGAGTATAGAAGTCCAGGCAGAATCTAGAGGAGATCTAAGACCTGACCCTCGATTTGATGCCATCAGTTTCATAGTTCTTGTTTTTCAGGAAGATGATAGTTCTGTACTTGATACTCAAGTACTTCTGCATTCTAAATGTGAGTATACTCAGAGAAATCTTGATGCAGTTTTGGACTGCAAAGTATTGGTTTTTTCTGAAGAATTACATTTGTTCAGCCATTTTATGAAGATTGTCATTGTTTCAGATCCAGATGTTTTAATGGGTTGGGATGTTCAAAGTGGTTCCCTTGGTTTCTTGGCTGAAAGGGCTGTTCATCTTGGCATTGGTTTGCTAAATGCCATATCCCGGTCACCATCTAAATCTAATATCGGTTCTCGAGATCTTAATATTTCAGGAAAAGAAAAGGTGAATGAAATGATTTATGAATCTGTAGCTGCTGAAGCTGTCAATCTTGAAAATGCAATTGTAGAGGATGAATGGGGCAGAACTCATGCCAGTGGTGTTCATGTTGGTGGTCGAATTGTTCTTAATATTTGGAGACTGATGAGGAGTGAAGTTAAGCTTAACATGTACACAGTCGAAGCCGTTGCTGAAGCAGTTTTGAGGCGAAAAGTTCCGTCCATCCATTTCAACGTACTGACAAAATGGTTTTCCAGTGGTCCTGGACGTGCAAGGTATCGATGTATTGAATACGTGTTAGAGAGAGCAAAGTTGAATTTACAGATTACGAATCAACTTGATTTGATAAATCGGACATCAGAACTTGCTCGAGTTTTTGGTATTGACTTCTTTTCTGTTCTTTCTCGAGGTTCACAGTACCGTGTCGAATCCATGTTTCTCCGACTAGCACATACACAAAACTATCTTTGTATTTCCCCCGGAAATCTACAGGTTGCCAATCAACCTGCAATGGAATGCCTGCCACTTGTTATGGAACCAGAATCTAGTTTTTATGCAGACCCAGTCGTCGTGTTAGACTTCCAATCTCTTTATCCATCGATGATGATTGCATATAACCTTTGCTTTTGTACATGTCTTGGAAAGATTACGCCTTCGAAGGCTAATACCCTTGGTGTGAGCTCATATTCAGCAGATATAAATGTTCTTCGCAATTTGGAACATGAATTATTGATTACTCCAAATGGTGTTATGTACGCGCCTTCGAAAGTTCGGAAAGGCATACTACCTCGGTTGATGGAAGAGATATTGTCAACTAGAATCATGGTAAAACAAGCTATGAAGAAGTTGGCTCCATCACAAAAAGTTCTTCACCGAATATTTAATGCACGACAGCTTGCTTTGAAGCTAATAGCAAATGTTACCTATGGCTATACTGCTGCTGGATTTAGTGGGCGCATGCCTTGTGCTGAGCTCGCTGACAGTATTGTCCAATGTGGCCGTAGAACGCTGGAAAATGCTATCTCGTTTATAAGCAAATGTGATAAGTGGAATGCTAGAGTTATTTATGGTGATACAGATAGGTATGGATGGATGATCTTCACCTTAAGTAGCACTAAACATGTTCTCTTGAGCTGCACGAGCCATATCATCGTGCATGACTCGTATGAATTTTTTTGGTGAAATTTTGGCTCCTCTGTATTCATCTCTCAGCTGTTGTTGAGTACTGAAATATCATTATTTTTCTAGTGTCTTTATATTGGATTACTTGATCAGTTGTTTCTTATTAGGTCTGTGTTCATTAGTGGTAAATCTTTTTCTACCAAATGTTTGGCGTTCCATATTCAGTGTCTCTTTAAGCACGTTAGGTTAATATGATAATGGAAATTTTATTAATTGCATAGATATGTTTTCCAAAAAAATGGAAGTTTAGTAAGGTACCTTCGCTTCCATGATTTTTTTTGGAACGGTGCCATACCTTGACTTTTTAGTTAGTTCATTGACTAGTGTTCCAAGATCTGAATAAAATGAAATTCATTTTGTTTCAAATTAATTTTATTAGGCCTAAGAATTTATTTTCATTTCCTTCATTGGTGCAGCATCTTTGTACTCCTTAAAGGACGTTCTGTCAAAGAAGCCTTCACAATTGGACAAGAAATGGCATCTTCGATAACTGAAATGAATCCATATCCTGTCACGTTAAAAATGGAAAAGGTCTATCACCCTTGCTTCCTCCTTACTAAGAAGCGATATGTTGGTTACAGTTACGAGAAGCCTGACCAAAGCAATCCAACATTTGATGCTAAAGGTATTGAGACAGTACGGAGGGATACATGTAGGGCTGTGTCTAAAACTATGGAGCAGTCATTAAGGATCTTTTTTGAGCATCAGAACATTGATAAGGTAAGAACTGTATTTAATATTCTCATTTTCAACTTTGTGGTTAAGTTCATACAATTGATCTATGTGAGTTAAGTGCGGTTGTATACGTCCAGTGTTAAGCATACCAGGATGTATGGATTTGTTCCTTTAAAGCTATCCCTGCCATAGTGGCAACAGCATGTCTCTAATAACCAATAGAAAATTTCACAAGTTTCTTTTAGCCAAATATTCAGAGGGGGAAGGGGTAGATGAGAGAGAAGAGATGAATATTAACTGTAGTTTGTGCACAAAAGAAGAAAACTGCTGTTATAAGGGGAATTCTGACACGTGGTTGTTAGGTTGCAGGTTAGTAACGTTTTAATATCTAAAAGCTAGAAAAATCTGCAAATTTGAGGTCTGAAGATGAGTCAATTCTGTCAAGTAGTTATCCTCTGCGTGTTCATGTTTTCTTTTCCTCTTCTTTCCCTTTGTGCACCTGAACATTTTTGCTGGGTGCAAAGTTATCTTCATATTGTACATTTGGAAGTCTTTGAAAGTGGCTTGCATTGGTCACTTGGTTTCTGATGTTTGTGAATTTATGATGCTGTCAACGTTTTAGGATGTTCTCATCTGTATTGGGCTGAAAACAGCCATACCTGAGGAAATAATATGTATTATTAATCATCCAGCATTCTTTTCTTTCTATTTTCTGTGTGTCATCTTGCATATCTCAGTGTTTTTTAACTCTAAATATAGTGATGCTGCACTTTTGTGTTTACCACCTCTCAATGTTTAAAAAACCCATTAGAATGTATATTGTTGTGATATACATACATCTGGATGATTTCTTGACTCGTTAATTTCTGTTGGTTCGTTGTGCACAGGTAAAGGCATATTTACAACGCCAGTGGGCTCGGATTATATCAGGAAGGGCATCTCTTGAGGATTTTGTTTTTGCGAAGGAGGTTCGTTTAGGTACTTACAGAGCACGCGGGGCTTCTGCACTCCCTCCAGCAGCAATTGTCGCCACCAAGGCAATGAAAGCTGACCCAAGGGCAGAACCACGGTATGCTGAGCGAGTACCTTATATAGTAGTTCATGGTGAGCCTGGAGCCCGCTTAGTTGATATGGTAATGGATCCACTGGACGTTCTTGCTATTGATTCCCCTTTCAGATTAAACGATGTTTATTACATCAGGAAGCAGATAATCCCAGCTTTACAGCGAGTATTTGGGCTTGTTGGAGCTGACCTGAACCAGTGGTTTTCTGACATGCCTCGGCCAGCACGTGAAGCTGTTGGAAAGCGTCATTCTGGTGCTCCTGCTAATGTACACCGAACAAGGATTGATTATTACTATCTATCAAAACACTGTATTATCTGTGGTGATTTAGTTCAGACATCAAAACATCTCTGTCATAACTGCTCTAAGAATGAAGCAACTGTTGCTACTGCTTTGGCGGGAAGAACTTCAAAACTTGAAAAGGATATCCAACACCTTGCCGCTGTAAGTATTACTACAGGAATCAAAATATTATATATCTGTATATTTTCCTTGGTTATTAATTCTTTATCAGTTCATGTTTCTTGTTGAATTCTATGATTACTTGTTTATTTGAATTTTAGGTAGCATTCTATGGTTTTATTCAGAGGACTGTGTTTTGCAAAATGCACTATTTTCTTGGCAGAATCTCTTGATTTATCTTCTCATAAAAAATAATGATAAAATGGAGCTGTCAATCGGTTCATGAGTACCTCTATTTTGTGTCTTCTCCTTGCCCATATGTTTTTTTTTCCTTTTCTTTATGGCTTCTTAACTCTCAAGTGAACTCTTCTATGGTTGGATTTGGTTTCAACACGTCCTGTTTTACCACTTCTATCGTATTTTTTCTTTACAGTCATGCTATATATATCTATGGTTGGTGTGCAGATATGTCGTCATTGTGGAGGTGGAGACTGGCTTATCGATAATGGCGTGAAATGCATTTCACTCGCTTGTTCAGTTTTCTACGAGAGGAGAAAAGTGCAGAAAGAACTGAAGTCATTATCTGCTGTTTCTACAGAAGCCGGTTTCTACCCAAGGTGCATGGTCGAGTGGTTTTGAATCTTATGGAACATCGCATATGAAAGTGCGTATCGAGGTGTACCTGTGACTCAGCATGGGATAACGGTGCAGAATGCGTTTTTAGCTATATACGACTTTAAAACACTTCTCTGCGTGTATATATAGCAATTGGCCAATGCCATCTAAATTTAGCATCTCTTGCTGCTGTTAGTTAAAAATGTGAAGAAATGTGTCTCACGATGTATATGTCACGTTAAATAGGCTTTGGTGATTGATAGTAGGTCAACCTAATCTGGTCAGATCATATTTGTAAATCAATTATGTTAGATGTACATTCTTGTGCACATCTTCCCTTACATCCCCCATGTATGTGGCAAGGTTTGGACATGAATATAGTCGCACGGACCTACTCGCACTTCCTTTATGATTTTGTAATTTCAAAACTATTTATCCATTTAATTTATTTACCATGAATATATATTTTGTGACAGTTCTATTTTTGGATATATTAATTTGAGTTTTTGGCATTGTTATGACTTAAAATCACATTCAATAAAATGATGCCTAAAATCAACTCTTTTAACATTTGGAATATAGTTTAAATTATAAAGAGATAAGAATGAGTGATAAATAAGTAAGTAGTAATTGTGATTTTTCAAAATATATGGATAAAATTGAATCTTAAGAAAAAATCACATTTAAATTTCGTCTTCGCACATTTTTTTTTACTCATCCAATCCATGCCGACTTGTGCAGGGACCGCATTTACACTCACACACTAGAGTTCAAATACTCGCATCTTCTTCTGATTGATTCCAAGTTTGCATGATGGTGCTTATTATTGTCCAAATACGCACGAATCTTCAAGACCATTTCAAATTTGTGCCAAAGAAACGTATAAAACACGTTAGCGTTCAAATACAAGACGAGAAAGACAGTACTCAATAGAACTACAAGTTCAAATACAAGACAAGAGAGACACTACTCAATAGAACTACAAGTTCAAATACAAGACAAGAGAAAGACACTACTCACTATACCTACAAACTTGAAATGTCAACATCGACGTATTTTTCCCGTTAAGTTAATTATTTTCCACAAGATTTAAATCGATAGGAAAAATATGAATCTAGTGAGGCGCAATTATTGATGGGGACAAGCATCCTCGATAACCGGTAAACTCGTGACCATTGTCTATTGATTAATGAATCAAGGAAATGGCAACTGTTATTTGGACCAGTATACCCCGTGACTTGTTTCAAATACCAAACGATTTATTTCCTTTCAATAGAATGTGTTGGGCACTTTTGGTTAAACATATATTACTTTTAAATATTTTTTTTAAAGAAATCCTTCAAATCGATTGGAATATCGACAAAGGTCAAAGTTAAATATGAAATAATCAAATATCATAATATCAGAAAAGCCAGTAGGGTTGGCGACGGGGCAAGGCGGGCCTCGCTAAGAAATTCTCCGCCCCGTCCCCGCCCCGTTACCTGTTTAAGGGGGGCAGGGTAGGTCCTTTGCCCGTTTTAAATTTTTTTTTTTTTTTGTAATTTATTTTTATTGTCCATATTTATTAGATTTAGACAAATAATTTTAGTTGTTTTTTCTATTAGAACTAATGAAAATTTTCATTTAAAGTATTGAATTCTAAAAATAAAAATAAAAAAAAAAATTTAACGGGGCTGGGTTGGGCCCCCTTTACCTGTTTAAGCGGGTTATTCCCGCCTCGTTCGGGGCGGGACCCTGCAGGTATCGAGTTTGTCGAGTTTTTTTGACATTGCTAGAAGTCAGCTAGTAGTAAAAAATGTAGATATCTAATAACAAAAATGTTTGATATGATTCTTAGTTGTTACTATCGAGATCTAACTTTTTATTCATTGTCTATACTCAGATCGTTAGGTCGAGTCGAACGGTCTCGTCCAGTTACGTTAACATTGCTTTTAAGTAACTTTTTAGTCCTAAATATACTTTTTATTCTTTGTCTATAGTCAGATCGTTAGGTCGAGTTGAACGGTCTACTCTGGTTACGATAACATTGCTTTTAAGTAACTTTTTAGTCCTAAATATGTTTTTTTTTTGTAATTACATTTTTTCTTACTTTGAGTGTAAAAAAGAGAGGGAGAGATAGTTGAAGGGTAGACTTCACTGCGACAATAAATTATATGGTAGCACTTCAACATTCTTGTGGCATCGCAATTTTTTTCGAATTCTCGTTACATTTTTTCCTCAATAGTATGTCTGTGTAACAAGCTAAGAGATGTAGTCTTTTCGGCTATCTCTTTACTGTTTTAACATCTTAGTATATCAACTCTTATTAGCAAATCATAAGATGCTAACAATACATTGAAGTGACATCACAATTGAAATGTCGTCTTTCCATTTGCTAGATTTTAGCGTGTCAAAAATTTGTGAGGGGACAACAGAAGTCAACTCGTACATAATCTATATAATCTTTTCTTTTATGTTTGTTTATAATTCTAGAGAGTGTTGTCTCAATTATACAATTATACCTTGTTCATAATTCTTAACATATACTTATTTTTAATTACTTTTTTACTTATAAGTAAATTAAACATAAAAGGTAAACACTCAATTTCAAATGTGAAACATCAATATCATATCATAGAAAAATTACCACTAAAACAAAGGCATAAAGAAACAAAAATTCAAATTCAACCAGATTGGGCCAACCAATCAAGTACAGGTTTCACGTGCCACACCAAGCTTGGAATTTGGTACGTCAATTAGGATTCTGTGGTTCTGCTGTTGAAAATTGGCAATCACATTGAGAACAGAGTTGACGTTAACGGGTGCGGCGGCCATGGCTAGACAAGAGGTGGTGCCGACAGCGCTGCGAATAAGGAAGTTGTCTTGTGGCAATGTCATGTTCAAGCCCGAGAACATGAATGTTATGGTAGGCACGGTGATCGGAACTGTGTAGCACGTGTCGAAACCGCCGAGGGACGACACGATTGCCTTGCCCATTCGACGTCGGAATGCGTCTCGCACAGCGATGTAGGCCGGTTCAACTAGACGGGTGAACACGGTTCCTAATAGAATCAAAACAAAACAAACAAGATTTACTGCTTGTTTGATTCCCATTAATTGGAAAAAATGAGTTATGGATAGTATTTTTAGAACAATGTGTGGTTAAAAAGTAGGAAAAAGTTGGAGAGTACGTGTAGAATATTTTATTATATGAATGTGTGGTTGAAAATGATTATGTAGCAGACCATAAAATAAATTAATGGAAATCAAACAGACCCTTACATATCACCAACTTCATTTTTTAACATAAAGAGTGCTGCTGACATAGACAAGATTTTAACTTATGAACATGATGTCGTCGAGAAATCTAAATTCAAATCTCATCGTCACGTTAATGAAAAATTTTGTACGTGTGAGTATTGATTAAAAAGAAAAGAGTAATGCTATCTATAATCGATAATCGTCTTCAATCTAAGTGGCAGTGAGCCTTCTAATTCAGATAATGTCATCTAGACCGATGATAAATAACATTATTGAAAAGACGTTTAAAACTATACATGATGGGACCCGTTAAAGAAAATACCGAAATGAATATGTCACGAAAAGTTTTTGGATGAGATGGTTAATAATCGCAATAAAAATTTTGTTAAAAATTTACCAGAATCAATGACTGTCCCTGAACCAGTGTTTGGATCATGAGCAAATGCAGTAGGAGGGATCTTGACTAATCCCCTTCCAACCTTAATCCCCACGAGGTTCACATAATAGAGGGATGATCTTCTTGGGTTCTCAAGCAATTGGGTATATTTGAGTCTAAAGGGCTGGCTATTGGGCCCCAGCCTGAGTGACCCACTAAAGTTTGGAGATTTGTAGCTAGGCAAGCAGTAAGAAAATGTGGACTTATAGAGGTATTGGGTTTGTGACAATAATGACAATGGGCCTCGGCCCAGGCCCAAAAGTCCCTGTGCCGGTATGGAGTTGCCGGTGGCTTTCCGAATGCAGCCGAAGGTGTAGCCGGGGACGGGGTCGGCGGCAAGTCTGATGGTGTCCTGGACCAAGCCGGCTGCGATCGAGGAACTGCCGTAGGTTAGGTTAAAGCCACATGTAGTGCCTTCACAACTCGGGTTAGGTACCTGAACAATTTAATTTTAATTATTAAAATGAAAGAAATACCTTATCAGTTTAAATAGCAGTAGGGTCGTTGTCACATTGTCGAGTGTAATTGGTTTGCATTTCATTTATTTGACAATGTCATCAAGACGAAAAAATTACTTTCTAAAAAAGTAAATTTTGTTAGTAAAAGAATCAGAATCATGTGGGAAAAATAAGTAACTTTTAAGTAAATTTGACTTATTTTAAAGAAAACGGATCATTCTTTAAAAAGTAAAAGAAAACAAATAGTTAAAAGTGTCGACTCTAAAACCGTGGCTATTGGCCTATTGCAGTGCAGTTCACGGGTCATGCTGCTGTACACTAAATTCGGACAAGTTACTTAGGCAAATCCATGTCAAAAACCATTTTTACTGCCTACGGCGGCGCGTTGGCGCGTGACAAACAGTACTGTATCAACAAACCATCAAAAACTGAAAAAGCTTCTAGTTAATCGAATTATACCTGCTTGCATTGTACAGCACCGCAACTCAGGTTCTTAAACGACGTAGACTTTGCCGTATAAAAAGCGGTAGTGGCGCAGCCAGCACAGCCGCTGCATGGAACCCAAGCAGCATCACTGCTAGTATCCATAGCCATTAGAAGGATTTGAGGTGGAGTTCCGATTTTAACCCTCAAAATGTAAGTAGGGTTCTGTGTAACCTGTCTGCCGGAGGCTACAGGGGCAACAGACCTGCCGGCGACAAGGCTAGATAAGTAAATTAACCTCTCTCTGTCCTCAGACTGCATTTGTAAAACACTGTCTTCCCATGAGAGTTGGGTTTTTGACCTGAATGGGGAGCAGGGGCTGTTGACATGAATGACTTGGAGGGTTGAGCCTTGTTCTGGGATATTGCAGTTGGGGGTAAACCCAAGGGCTACTGAGGAGAAAAAGAGAATGGCTAGAGAATAGAGGAGTTTCCCCATGGCTGGCTTTGTGTTTTTCAGTGATGGTTTAGTGAGTGTGATTGGGTGAGTATTTATAATTGTGTTTAGGGTGGTGGGAGTGATTGAGGGATTGTTTAACTAAGGTTTTGATAAAAGTTGATGAAATGTTTCATTGAAAAATAAATAAAAATTGTAAGTTTCATAAAATATATGTTAAAATTGAAGTTTGATTAATTGATAGAGCCCCCGTTTGGTCCGGATTAAAATCTGATTTTAATCCAAGTCAAAGTTAAACAATCAATATTAACCACATCTTTTATGGATCTCACAACTTTTCAACCACACATTTCAAAAACTTCTGTCACAATCTACTAAAAATTTAATTTTAATCTCCACCAAACACCCTCAAAATATTGCTCAAACAAGCAAGGGATGTGTACGGGTAAGTTTCACCCGTGATCACTAAACTTTCAGCTAACTTAATTGGCGGTAACACTGCAACTAATCTTTCACGTAATTGCCGTGTGATATGTCAACTTACTACTACACCACACATTATAAGCATAAAACAAGAAGATAGGCACGTTAACATTTTAATCTAAAGATGTTGTCATCATAATCTTCATTTAACTATTTTTCGTTTCTAGGGTGCTACACAATGATTATGTAGAAGATCATTTACAATATAACTATCAAATAAACGGCTTTCACGAGTTTAGAGAACGATACGTGACCGACTGGTGAAATTTGAAAATAAGTTGGATGCCATCGACCCAATTGAGACATATTGAAGATAAATGACCCAATTGAGTTCGTTGGAATTGCAAACGAAATTTTCCCAATGTGAACTTAAAGTAAAGTAGGGCTATTAATTGGTACCAGACTGTAATCCATCATACCCTTTTCATTGTTTTAAAGATAACCTTTGTCACATGCCTTTGGTCCATGAATATATGATAATATTCCATTATTCCTTGCTTATATTTTTTACATTATTTTTCTTGGTTCTTTCTCTGTGTGTATGTGCAAATAGGAATGTCCATTTGGAATTTGCTTATGGGCTTGTTTATGTCTGAAACATCTGAACAGCATGTGTATGTGTTGATATATAGTACTTCTTGGAAAGGCGAAATTAATTTAAGCTTTCATTCTGTCCATTTTGTCCATTTTATTTGGGTTGGTAGATTATATATATATTGTTGTTTATAGGAACTTTAGGGTTGGAAAATCGCTCAAATAGATTGACTCGATTCAAATACAATATTGAAATTGTGGGTCACAAATTTATTAGTTTGGCTATTTAGATCCAAAAGTCACAAATAGAATTGTTGGTCACACGATGCATAATTGTCGAGAATCTTGTGATCTTAGGATGATCTTTTTGTCGCCTATTTGCCTTAGACATATGACAAATCACCTATACAGCATTTATATCAAAAATTCAAGTATTATATAAATAAATAATTAAATCTTTTGTAGAAACTAACCATAATAATAAACGTGCAAAATATATCTATTTATCATAACATCACATAAATAGCCATAGTAAAAAGTTCGTACTAAAGTAAGAATTGTGAGAGAATAGAAGCAGTCACACTCAATTACTCAAATCTATATTCGTCCCCACAGATTAAATCAAAATTATTGATAAAGCTTAGTGTGGAATTATTGTCGGTGACATTATTGTTATATACTTTAATGTTAAATTAAAAAAAAAAAAACTTTATTTTTACTTTTACTTTTACTATTAAATTTATTTATAGAATACTGAGAGAAGTGGGATCTTGATCACGTGATAAGGAAAAAAGGGAGAATGAATGGAAGAGAAAAAGCAGATCCACTTTCTGAGTGACGAGCAGAGCATACTTTGTTTTTTTGTCTTTTGTCTTGTGTGTGTGTGTGTGTTTTTTTTTTTTAATCTCCCCATTCTGCATCTGTACTGTACACAATTATTTATGAACAAATTGGACAGACATAATCACATTGTTATGGAGTCAAACTTGTTTTGAGGTCGGTCGGTTTGGCAACTAGTCATGTTGCATGTGACTGAGTTATTAGACCTTAAGGTTCATTTGCCCAAGTAATTATTTGGGAAATATTTCTTATGAATGCGTTATTAAAGAGTGATGCTACAAGTACATAATTGCAAGTGGCATTGATCAACACCTTTAATTCAAATCTGACACTTTCACATCAACGATATGATGATTGCCTCATCACATTATATCATTCATTGTGTACATTTATTATGTACACTTAACGTTTTCCATTATTAAAATACATTGTGTAAATAGCACATAATGCTTAATTTAGAAAATAAAATAAATAAAAAATAAATAAAAATATCGTCTTCACCCAAAAATCCATCCCAACACTAATTCGTGCCACAACATCCTTGCGTCACTGCTAACACCGTCGTGATTTCACGAATTTAGGAACCACAACTTCCAAACCACGGTGGAAAATCGATGGACTCGCTTCACGAAACCAGGGGAATCCCAGTGGTGATGGCAGTTGCAAAGTGAATGGTGGTTGGTGGCTTTGGGTTGGAGCGCGGAAGATGCATTTTTTTTTCCCAATTTTTTGTTTACCACGTTTTTGTGCCATTTGTCATGTAGGTACATTGCTTGCACTATGAACTGTCCCATAATATCTGACAGACGACTGTTAATTTTTGTATAGATAGAAAATAATTTTGTTATTTTTTTTGTATCCTACATAAATAAAAGAGTCACTTGGTTGTTAAAGTTCATAAGTCGAGTCGAGCCAAATGGCTTTATGGCTTGGCTCGACTAAACCGTCTAAGCCCTCTTTTTTTTTTTTTT